ACTGAAGCAGACAGGAGAGAGCTGGTGACCTCAGTCAGAAATTACAAGACGATCAGGACACTCATCAGGAGGGGCAATGCCCTGCCTGAAAGTCTCAGGCTTATAATCACTATTTTTCTTTTGTAAAGGAGACTCTTTTTAAAAATGCGCCGCTAATATTTCTGCCATTCGCTTGTCTTGCATGGGGATACTCTGCAAGGAAAATTTGATCAATATATTAGATTCCTGGCAGGAAGATGTTATCAGACAATGCATGTATGCCTTGACACAGCTCAATTTCCATCTATCCAAGAGGGTATTGATTTTCCACTCACAGAAGCACACGCACACATACAAAGAGCGGTTACAGAAGACGGGGGTTGGGCAAGCACTTATTCAAGAGCAGATAACTCTACCATTCCCCAAATGCATTCAGAATACCCTCTGGCTTGGTGACTTAATATTTGGGTGATCTATATAAACTCCTCACATCAGGAATAAATCAATGGCTGATGAGCAACCCTGGTAATTCCTATGTGTACTCTAAGTGCTAAGAACTGTATGTATCTGAATCAGTGACTGAGGCCCTCACTGAAATCCTGGTCCAGCTAGTTTGTGTAAAATGCTTTCCTGGAGCCACACCTTTCTGACACAAAATACAATTAATCCTATATCTCTGGATCACAGCCTTTTTACCCAACAGCTGCAGGCATGTAAACACCTTCCGTATGTCTCTATTGCTTTTTCCTTGTTCACATTTGTCTGTCTAACTTAGATTCTTATGACAGCTCCTCAAAGATCATGACCTATTCCTCCCCTTCTGGACTCGGGCTAGGATTATATATACTTCCTAAGCCTTCTCCGAGAGGATGCCATTGCGTGACCACTTCTGATCAATGAGCTGCAAGCAGAAGTTACCTGTGTTTCCAAGTTAATCTTCAATGACCAGCTGAAAGACCCTCTAGAAATCTTTTTCCTTTGCTGAGGCAACTAGCCATTTCCAAGATGGTGGTCACTCCATCCGCCTGAGAACCTGAGTGATTTTGAGGATAGAGTTTGTGCCTCATGAAGACCCTGTAAGTACATGGAAACAAAGGTGGTGAGGGAGTGTGAGGGGGTAAGGGAAGGTGCGCCTGGCGACCCAAAGGGACTTCCTGTCAGTGGTTACACACATTTGCACCCCCCAGTCCTTTCTCCCGCTTACTCTAAAAACCAGGAAGAGGTCATAGTCTTCCCATGAAGTTCTATGAACTTCCCATGTTTAGGTTCCATCGTAAACTTTCACAGAGATTTTCTTCATATTTGGTTGTTGCCAAACTTTATACAAGTCTAAATTAGAGGTGGTTGCGAAGTATTTTGTAAACAAACAAAAGGCATTTTAATCAAGCAATTGCTTTTCAGTCAAAACGCCACATACCCATATACTCAGACGTAAGTCTAACTATGGGTCTGAACAATAATCCTGATGTTGCAAATTTTATTATTATAATAGCCTAATGTTATAATAGAATAAGCTAGCTAAAATATGGCCTGAGTAGAATATAGATGTTACATATTTGTATGTATCAAACTATGATTATCAATGCTTAATTTGCTTATATCTGCTTAAGATATAAGCTATGTCAAAACAGAAAATTTAGCTGGGTGGTGGTGGTGCACACATTTAATCCCAGCATTTGGGAGGCAGAGGCTAGCAGATCTCTGTGAGTTTGAGGCCAGCCTGGTCTACAGAGAGAGTTCCAGGACAGCAGGAGCTACACAGAGAAACCCTGTCTTTTAAAAAAAAATCAAAAAGAGAGAGAGAGAACTCTAATACATGAATAGAATTACAATTTTAGAAATACTCATAGTATCTAGAACACATTAAATAAACCCTTAAAATATCAAACATGTAAACAAAATTAATGTACATTATACATGGCATTAAAATAATTAAAGAGAAATGGATTGTATCAATAATATTTCTATAGAAAAAAACTCATTAAACTGTAATCTTACACAAAAACAAACTCCAACTGGAATATTAAGGCCAAATGTAAAAACAGAGTTATAGAAATATCTGGAAGAATACAGTATACTTTTGTACTTAAATTTGTTTAGATTCATTTTACTGTAGTGTGTGTGTGTGTGTGTGTGTGTGTGCGTGTGTGAGAGAGAGAGAATACTGTATGTGTGGGTGGGTACCTGAGGAGGCCAGAAGAGGGTCTCAGATCCCCTGAAACTAGAGTTGCAGACAAATGTGAGCTATCTGACACGGATGCTAAGAGGGCAGCTGAGAGAAGAGACTTTAAAATGTAGAGTGAAATGTTAGTAATTATGTATAAAGACACTCAAGGAATCAAGAGAAAAGTTTGCCTAAGTTATAGGATTTTCACAGTAGGAGAAATATATATTTTCAATGAGCACATCAAAAGAAACAGCCTCAGGAGCAGCTAGAGAAACAGAAAGCATAGCAGCAAGGGGCTGAGTTCCACTGGAAAAGGGCCTGCTGTACATGCAGAAGTATCGAAGTTCAAAATCTCAGAACTCACCTAAAAGCCTGCAGCAGCAGTGTGTATGCAACCCCAGGACCTAGGGAGGGAAAGGAAGGGCCGAGACAGGTAGACCCCTGAAACTCATTGGCTGGTCAGCCTAGTCAATGATGATGATGATGAACTCTAGGGTCAATAAAATTAAGGTTAAAAAAAAAACTGAGCAAGATTTCAACATCAACCTCTGGTCTCCACATACATGCACAGTCCCACACTAACACCCACATGCAACAAACGCACACACACATACACACACACACATACATGTACATACATACAGAAGCATATGGCAGCAAAATGCCATTCTTACCTATGAGGCAGATAAAATTAAAATATTAAAACCATAACAATTTACAGAATTGACTAAATTGTATGGAAATAGACATTTTCTTCTTCCTACTGTTATAACTTTATTTGATGGCAATTATTATCTTTCAAAATCATAAATATGAACACTTGACCCAAAATTCTATTTCTATGAACCTAACTCATAGAAATATCTGTATATAATAACATTTGAATGTATATCATGCATAAAGTCCCCTGTAACTGCTCTGTTCACATTAATTAACCCTGCAAACCAAGTTCTCTGCATGTCCTCTGATGAGGAAACAAGCAGGGCCTGTGGCAGTCACTTTAGTAGCAGAACCAGGAAGCGGCAATCGAATGACTCAAGCACAGAATGCTCTTTACCACTGTACTATCTCTCTCAAATAAATATACAGGGGTATTTAATATGTTGTTTCTTATAATAAGAAAAAATTGAATAAAATATAAATGTTTACAGACCTGAGAAGTGGCCATACAACAAATTCTTATCCTAGAACACTAGAACACTTATAGGGTAATTAAAAAAGAATGAAACTGAAAGAATTTAAAGTACTAGTCACACATATTTATAGTAGCATTGTTCATAAAAGTCAAAGCTGGAATCAGCTCAAATGTCCACTAAGGGATGGATAAAAAAATAGTGTGTACAATCAATGGATATAAGTCAACTATAAAAAGGAATAAAGTAGTATTACATACTGTAGTGTGAAAGGGCTAGCCAAAGAAACACACCCTGACCCTGAAACCAGAGCCCAAGAAACACACTCTGTCCCTGACCAACTCAGCACAAAAACCAACCAATCCCTGAGCAGGAAAACCAACCAATCCCTGAACATCAAATCCAGCCAATCTCTGAGCTTGTCCAAGCTCAGGGGTTGAAATCTGACCAATTCCCACCTTAAAATTCTTCACCCAGGAAAAGCCTTCACCCCCCCCTCTAAAAAAAATCCTACGTATGGTCTGTACCCTGTTCAGTTTGTTGCTGTTTCTCTCCCAAGGCAGCCACCCTCCTGGATTTTAACCTCCCAATAAATCTCTTGAGTGAGGTTTGTTGTGTGGTGTGACATTCTCACCCATGTGAAGCTCAGCTGCAACAGTTTTCCCTGGAGCCAGAACACAGCAAAGCAGAATTGTAACACTTTCCCTGGGGAAACCGTTCCCTAGGGGAACAGAGTTGTTACACTCCAGAGGACCAAAGCAGAGCTGGAACAACTTCCCTGCCGGAGCCCTCTCCTGCTGGAGTAGAGTTGTTACACTGGAGAAAACTTTCCCAGGAACAGGACTGTAAGCTGCTATGCTTACAGTGACTTTGTGGGATTCCTTGGCTCCCAATTGCCAGGCTACTTTTCCACCTGAGCTGCCAGGCTTACACATGCTACAACTGTTAGTACTCAGGCATCTGTACTGGCCTGCCCTTAAGGTTCTCACAGGATACGCGCTCAGTTGCTGCCCTTGAGGTCCTGACAGATTATGTCCTCAGCTGCAGTCATGAAGAGCACCTTCTGTGAATGTTTGCTACTGTTCCCTTTTAAAAGGTGGGTCTTGCCCGGCGGTGGTGGCACAAGCCTTTAATCCCATTACTCGGGAGGCAGAGGCAGGTGGATCTCTGTGAGTTTGAGGCCAGCCTGGTATACAGGAGCTATTTCCAGGATAGGCTCCAAAGCTACAGAGAAACCCTGTCTTGAAAAACCGAAAAAAAAAAAAAAAGGTGGGTCTTGCTCACCTCCTGTCTCTTCCTTTCTCTCACTCTTTCTGCTTCTCTGCCTGTCTCCCCCTCCACGTGAGTTGTTGCATGTTGCATGGCATCTGTCTCTCTTGCGCCACATTTTTTAAGTTACAACCTTGATGAGTCTTACAAACATTATGCAGCGTGAAAAAGTGATACACATTTTGTTGTCGTTTTTGTTATGAAGTGTTCAGAATAGGAAAATCTAGAAAAGCAAACTACCTTAGTGGTTGTCAGTTGAGAACAGGGACTAACAACGAGTAGATACAAGGAATGATTAATTTTGTGTCAACTTGACTGGGTGTGATAGCACAGCTTTATCATCTAGTCACGGCATGATTCTATGGCCATTCTAGAATACAGACTTCCTTGGTCCAGTAGCCATGGTAACAAAATAAACAGAACAATACAGTGTTAGCCAAGGCTAGAGAAGAGTCACAGGATCCTCACCTGCAAGTCCAACCTTTGCTCCCTCCATCACTCCCCTGTCCACTAGTTACAAATGATTTTGGGAGGCAGTAGACTATATAGGAAGCAGCAGGTTCGCTGAAGGTAGGGTTCCATGACTCAGCTTCCATGAAGTCCTCATCCGTGTTGGGCTGGGACTCTGTGAAGATGGAGTTGTTTTGGCATCAACCATATTCCTGTAAGTAATCCCTCATCTATGCTCTTTAAGTCCTATAAATGCACAGGTTTTTCAAGATGAACGCTGGTGGAATCCTTGTCTTTGTCTGTCATGTCTGCCCCACTTGGGTAAACTAAAGTTTGTTCACATCTCCCCAAAAAAAGTTACCCAGTACTGGGTAAGCAGTTCCCTCTGGCCTTCCTGGTCTGCTGACTTACAGATGGCACACTGCAGGACATCTAGATCTCCAGGGGTTTTGTGAGCTGATGTCCGTACCATATCATATTTGTGTTTATCTTACTGGTTTTGTTTCTCTGGAAAAAAAATAATCACACCATGCTGCTGCTTCTGTTGCTTCTACTGTGTGTGTGTGTGTGTGTGTGTGTGTGTGTGTGTATTCGAAATGTTCAGAAATTAGTGGTAGTGACTGACCAGCATACTAAAAGCCATTGAATTGTTCATCTCAAAACAAATTTCATGTTGTGTGACTACGTAAGAGCCAAAGTTACCCTGTAAGTCCCACTTGCCCGGGAACAAGATAACTTCCTGGAATGCTGGGAGGTGTAGTTCTTGAGAAATAACAAAGCCATGTGAGCTCACTCCCCTAAACAAGTTTTCTGAATCAAATACACCAAATACGCTTGACCACATGTGGGTGGAAGGTATGTAGGCAGGAAATATGTCAGGATGTATGTTTGCCCCTGATTGGACCTGATGGGAAAGGCAATGGATTGTGGGTTTTGCCTTTTTAAGCCCTTGCAAAATGTAACTTGATTCTCTGGAAACCCAAGGATGGACCTGGCCATTTCTCTGGTCAGTGCTTAATTAAAACTTGCTTCAAATTTGGCTCACAATCATGGAACTGGTTTTTCTCTCAAGAATCCCAGGATTAGCAAATAATGTCTCAATTTAAACATAATGAGGAGCTGGATGGTGGTGCACACTTTTAATCCCAGCACTCAGGAGGCAGAGGCAGGAGCCTCAGGAATTTGAGGTCAACCTAGTCTACATAGCAAGTTCCAGAATAGCCAGGACGACACAGAGAGACCCTGTCTCAAAAAATAAAAACAACAGCAACAAAAGAGGGTGGTAACTGCATGCGAATACAAAAACAGTAGTAAATGAAACAAGCAAGCCTCTTCCCCAGCCCCCCCCCCAATAACACAGACAGTGTGCGTCGCCTCAGGAAACAGAAAAGTCAGATGGTACTGTAAATGCATGGGGGGATTCAGAAAGAGCACACACTGATACACTAACAGAAGTTTCTACTAGAAAGAAAAATGCATTTGGGAAACTCACATTTTACTCTCTATATTTTTGTTTTGAATTTCTTTACAGTAAGAAATATACCACTTTCATAATTTTGAAATCAACAAAATGAAAACAAAAGCAATCCAACATAAATAAGCTAGGGAATATACAAACTGAAAATAAACCATAGGCAAGTTTCCAGGAGGCTTAGGAGGCGGGGTCCTGGCTCAACTTGGCTTTAAGGACCCATGTCTTTAGAAAATCCATCTGGCATCTCTCATCCAGCTTCCTTGTCTGTCAAAGGAGGGCCCTGAACCAAACGGCCACACTGTGCCGCTTTCAGCTGTAAGATCTTTGGATTCAACAAGCCATTCTCTTTCCTTGTTTTGTTGCCAAGGTTACTGGCAGCTCCATTCTTTCAGAACATATTTTAGACAAGACAGCAAATATGGCCACGAATTTACACACATTCCAAGACCGTGACCTTAAGGGAAAGGAGCATAGCCTCCTTGCTCAACTGCTGCTTAATTGTGACCTTTCTGTTGCACCCATTAGCCATCACACACATGGACCGTATGGCTAAATGGAGGAATAAAATAATTCTCGCACAAAAAGATAATTGGACAGACAGCTCAATTTTTTTTTTTGCTTAATACATGAAATCTCATTTCAGAAAGCATGTTATCCTGAAATAATTTATTTTCCTTTCATTATGTACATAACCTCTAGGTTGCCTTTTCATTAGATTCTGTTGGCCCTGGACAAACAAAGAAGATTTTTAAAGAGAGGGAAAAGATGGGAGGAGGAATTGCCCTGGGAATCCGGGGGTGTAAAGGAGGAGGGGTTGATTAAATACCTACATGAATGGACGAACGTGGATGAGAAAATGAAGGACACTTCTAGTCTCTTTTCCATCTGCTTGCCAGCTGCTCTGCCTAATGGTCAGCCAGCTGAGGTACACGTTGGAGATTACGTATATATCTGAAGGGCCAAGAGAGGATCCTTCAGAAGCTGAGGTTCCTCCTCCAACAGCTGGACCAACATCCTTAAGCGAACTGCAGACGCTCAGAACATGTCGGTATTCTACTCTGTCTCTTCCTCCATGGACACTGAGAGAAAAACAAGGAATACTAAGGCTGCAGGCTGTAATTTCTGAGCCCATATCCTTTTTCTACCTATCTATGCTTTCTGTGCGATCCTATCGAAGTTACCAAAAACTCAACCAGAACTGACATGGAGGTTAAACAGAACAACACATTCAAGATGCCCATTAGCCCTTGAGCCACTGCAGACACTGAGTGAGAAGAATGCTTGCTTTTACCTCTGGATGCCCTGAGATGTTGCCAGAACTGAACCTCAAGGACAGAGTTTATTCCTAAGAGTTAGCACAGATCTTTGTTTTTAAACTAATTTAGCACTTTTAATATTGTTTCCCCCCTCTGTTTTTTGATCAAGGGTTCCTTGAGTTTGCCCAGTTCCCCTGGGCATCACAAATCGGTTAGCCATCTATCAGGAAATGTCACCCTAGCTCCTTGCCTTTGAAGTCTGTTCCCTGTACCTGAGGCCAAGAAGAAGGGCTCCAGGAATGGGTGGACGCACAGTGCACCACCCATTCTCTTAGTCACACCTCCTGACCACTAACCTCCTTCCACTCCTTTCCAGGGTGGAGATGTGCAGTGAGATTTCATTTGTATTTTAATAAATGAAGCTTACCTGAAGATCATAGAGTAAAACAGCCCCACTGGTCAGCCTCACAGACCAGGCAGTGGTGACACAAATCTTTAATCCCAATAGCCACACTAGTTTGCCACAGAAGCAGGGCGATAGTGGTGCACGCCTTTAATTCCAGCCCTAGAGAGGAATATAAAATGGGAGGAAACAGGTCTCAGGCACATTCTCATTCTGAGATTCCTGGAAGTAGGATCACCATTTCAGACTGAGGTAGAAGTAAGAGCCTGTGGCTGGCTGTTTTGCTTTTCTGACCTACAGGTTAAACCCCAGTATCTGTCTCTGGGTTTTATTACTCATGTTACAGAGATGAATTATGGCTGGGCTGGCAGGTTTAATGAGATCTAGCACTTTGTTTTGGAATGATGGGTAACTTGACTGTCTTAGTTAGGGTTTTTTTATTGCTATGAAGAGACACCATGACCATGGCAACTCATAAATAAAAACATTTAATTGAGGTGACTCGCTTACAGTTTCAGAGGTTCACTCCATTGTCATCAGGATGGGAAGCATGGAAACATGCAGGCAGACATGGTGCTGGAGCTGAGAGTCCTATACCTTGACTCAGAGGCAACAGGAAGTCAACAGACTGTCACTTTGAGGGAAACTTGAGGAAAAAAAGACCCCAGAGCCAGCCCCCGCAGTGACACACTTTCCCCAACAAGCCCACACCTCCTAATAGTGCCACTCCTTTTGGGGGCCATTTTCTTTCAAACCACCACTTTTTGTATTTTTTTTCACCTTTTTCTTGCAAACCTTGAACCTGTGACAAGAAGAATTTCATTTTAAATATCTTGTTTCTCCTTGATATATAGAAACCCCTGCATACATGTGAGATTCTAGAGGACTTGAGCTCTATAATTTAGTGTACAAGATGTGCTAGGCAAGGTGCTGCATGCCTGTAATCTCCATACTTGGGAGGCAGAAGAGGAAGGATTGCAAGGCCAGCTGGGTTGCATAGTGAGTTCCAGGCTTTTCTGAGCTACACGGCATACCAAGGGGTGGAAGAGAAAAGACAGGGAAAAAGAAGGAAGAAGAAAAAGAACAGGAGAAAGAGGAAAGATTTCAGGATATTCTCTCTCTCTCTCTCTCTCTCTCTCTCTCTCTCTCTCTGTACACACACACACACACACACACACAGAGAGAGAGAGAGAGAAATAAACACATGAAAGTTAGATATTTATACTATAGAAATTAAGCTCCACTTTGTGTATATGTGCACGCTTGTGCACATGCATGTGTAGTTGTGCATGTGGAGGCCAGAAAAAAAGTCAAAGTCAGGTATCTTCCTTGATTGATATCCCATATGTTTGTATTTTGTTTATTTCAGGAGTGGGGATCTCTCACTTAACCTAGAGCTCACCAATTTAGCTAGACTGGCTAGATAGTGACTATCAGGTATTCTCTTGTCTCTGCTTCCCCAGCACTGGGATTCAGGCATATGCCACCGCTCTCGGCTTTTTATGCGGCTCCTGGAAGTTTAGACTCTGGTCCTCATGCTTATGTGGCAAGCACTTTTTAAAGAATGTTCACTTATTCATGTATTCACATATTCGTTTATTTGCATATATACCTGAATGTCTGTGTGAGTTTATGGGCAACACATATGTCCAAGTGCCTGCAAAAGCTGGAAGAAGACGTCATATTCCTGGGAACTGGAGTTACATGTGGGTGTGAGCTGCACGATGTGGGTGCTGGGAACTGAGTCAAGGTCCTCTCCAAGAGCAGTGATCACTCTTGAACTGCTACAGCATCTCTCTAGCCCGAAATACCGTCTTTTGGTTTTTTGTGACAGGGCTTCTCTGTGTTACTCTAGCTTTTCTGGAACTCACTCTGGAGACCAGGCTGGCCTCAAGATCCATCTGCCTCTGCCTCCCAAGTGCTGGGGTCAAATGCACACACGTGCCACCACCTCCGGGCTGTGGCAAGCTTTCTGGGACTCAAACTCTGGTCCTCATCTTTGTGTGACAAACACTTTTTATATTGAGCTATCTTCCCAGGCCCCAGCCTACTTTCAAGTGACAAGGCTCCTTGGCCTTTTG